GCAAACTATTGTCAAGAGAGTAACTTATGAAAAAGTAGTACACTGACACCTTTTTTACTTTCAAAATATAAATGTAAAAATATTGATCATAACAGGAAGTTGAAAGAAGTGGGGCCAAGGCTTGATGTTAATTATAGATAAGTTAACAGAAAATGTAAGCCAGAGATGATTTATAATTTTTTGACCCTACAATTATAACACAGTCAACAGCCATTTGGGAAAAAAAAAAATGTAATCTAGTTTGACTGTTAGGTCAAAATGTCGTGGTTAAAATTCCAAAGAGTCACTCAATTTGTGAAAAGAAACAATATGTATTATGTATTAATATATCCAAGAGCATGGTTGGAAACATGTATGGTCTCTGGAAATAAGTATGGTCTCTGGATTCTGTTCTTGGCAAATCAAGCTATAGTTAAATCTATATTTCTGGATAATATGTTGAAAACAAACTTCTGAATCTAAATGGATTTTTATAACTCAAATTGTGTAATTATTTGTTTTTACTTCCTCTACACAAGATTGGGAAACACCTCAACTAAGGGACCACACATTAGATTAACACTAATAGTTATTGCCTGCCGGATAATGTACTAAGCAAGTACTTCATACATCTTATTCAGTTCAATCCTCAAAGAATCTAAAGTAGTTGCTATTATTACTCTCACTTTACTGACTTAAAAACTTGGCGTGAAAGAGGTTAAATGTCCTTAATATAAGATCATGCTTAGTTTAATCAGTGTAGAACATTTTTGAGACATCGCCTGACATCTGGGTTAGTCAAGAATTCTTTTAGGGGCCTCCTCTGGTGGCACAGCGGTTGAGCGCTGGGCTGCGAAGCTGCCCGCAGCCTCTGCAGCGCTGGTTCAATCCCCAGCTGCCCATGAAGGTCCCACATGGCGCACAGACCTCTCCTGCTGCACCCGCTTTTCCCCTCAGCAGTGTATTTCATTGGTCTGTCTGTTCTGCTCCCCACTCTGGCTCTGGTGAATTCCCTCACCCTCCCACGCTTCTGACTGTACCCAGTGCTTATATAAATAAATAAGTAAATCTTTAAAAAAAATAAATAAAGTTGAATTTTATAAAAAAAAAATTCTTTTAGGAAAAACATATTTCAAGGAAACTTTTGAAATATGATAAAATTGCTAGTCTATGTAAGAATTTTAATAGAAAATATGACTTAATTATTAAACTATTTATCCTTAGTAATAAAGACCAATCTAATAATTTATAAACTCTACTGATTTTTTTTAAAGATTTATTTATTTATACAAGAATGGAGTACAGGACTCTACTGATGTTTTTAAGGTTAAATTGTGATTATTAGATTATTCTCTTTCAAGGAGTTATACTTTATCTGACTTTGTCTATCAGTTCTGAAAGCTTCCTCTGGCCTAAAATGCATAACAATGACTTTTTTTTCAAGACGTGATTTGCATTCAAATGTCATTGCATTTATACACTTCAAAGAATATCCTCACTAATACATATTTTAGATTAATCTTTCAGGGATGAAATGTCTATACATAACTTAGACTAAAAGGGAAAAGCATTAACTCTGTGCCTTCAAAGTACTGAATCTTCCAAGGCTCTGAAAATACAGCTGTTAAAGCAAAGAGTCAAGATATTTATGGGATCCCATATGTAATTTTGGTTTAAAAGAATTTCAATTGCCATGTTGACTTTTTCTATTCACTTTGGAGTACTATGTTATATGAAATACCTTTCACTTTAAAGTTCAATATGGTCATATTTGAAAAGAATGCAGAACCCTATGATTTTAAAAGAAAGTTACAAAAAAGAAAAGCATTTCTGCATTCTTCAGTCTTAACATTTTTTTTCCCCTAAAATTGTTCTCAGCTACCTGGCTTGTTTTAAAACGCTCTTAGCTACCAATTTTGCTTTCAAATGCTCCAACACATTATTATACAAATTCAAGAAACAAGACTCTTGTCTGCACCACAGCGTTTTCAGCAGTCTTGATATTCCCTATTAATCTACATGCTCCCTATGTTTGTGATCTTGTAGCACCAGCACAATACCAACCTTTTAAATGAAACTAACAATATCAATCTATCTTCTTACATAAACTTTAAGGTTGCTGCCTTGCTATTTACAACAGCAGTGAGAGCTTCCTTAAAAAAAAAAAAAAAAAAAAAAAAAAAGCCCATAAAGCTCCTGAATAGATAAAATGTAAATCTGGTAAGAATTCAGAAAATTGTAGTTCCATGCTTGCCATTTCAAGTAGAAAAGAGCTACAGTATCAGTTGTCATAGGATGAAAGATGAAACTATAGTCTTACAGGATCGTGGCTAGGTGATGCTTTGGAGAAATGAGCCTAGCAACCACAAAGACTAAAATCTATTTCGCGGGTGTTTCACTAATAAAATGGGCAAAGTCAGAATTTGCAGTGATTCCGTGTTATTCTTTGAGTGCTAATGTGTCCTGCATTCCTGTCTAGTCAATCCTGACACCCAACCACAGTGTAACCTCCACTCTCTCCCACCCCTCCAGCCTGCTCTCCTACCACATATGCACACACACGCCCAGCCGGCAGGAGATACAGCTAAGATGGCAGCGCGGAAAGGATAGGAGCCCCGCTCAGTGTGGATGGAAAATCAACAGCAAACCCCTCTATATTCTTTCATTCTGCACATTTCCTTAAATCACTGGAGTTCTTCCATCTCACTGCAAACGCATCCTAAGTAGCCCTGCGCACTGGGTTGGTAGCAGGAGACAATTGCTTTGCACTAGGCAAGAAACCCCCATCTCCCATTTGCAGCTAGGGTTCAGGTAAGCGTCGCGACTTGCCTTGGGGACCACCCTCCCTTTTATGTCCTTCTGACAGTGGAATTAAGGGTGACTCCAAACGTCCTTTCCTTCCTGGCACGCGCCCCCCAACCCACTCCCCACGAGAGCTTCCCGGGTATCCAGCTGCAGCAGCTGTGGCAGGGGCAGTGACCAAGAAGCACTCAGTGCGGAGGCAGGAAGAGGAGGAGAAAAAACGCTGCATAGGCTATCAATTTAGAGTAGAGCGGCTGCTGCCGCTGCCGTGGAAGGAAACGCTGCCAACCGCAACAGAACGCCACCCTCAGATACCTAAATGAGCATGTGTGTGATTCTGCGCACGCCTAGTTGGGCTGCTCATGACAACGGGTTTCTTCGGAAATTATCCAGTTCCCGGGTTTTGTGTGTGCCCTGTAGGCACTGGAAAGGGCCTGAAGGGTGTAGTGAAGACAGAGGTGGAAATTAAGAAGGGGCGGGAGGAGTTGATATGATCTTTAAATGGACAATGACTGCATATGCCATCCCCTGAAGAGGAACTTGGGATATTTTTCTGTGTAGGCAGCGAGCATTCATTCATTCAGCCAATATCCATTTCCCTCCTGCTTAGTACTTTCCTCCTGGATAGGACTGAGCCTATCCAGTTGCTGGGAATGTAATGTGAGAACAGACACCATTCCTGTCCTGCTGGAAAAGTCACAGAATTTGTTGTGTGTGTTACCGTTGTGTTGTGAAAAGCCATGTGCCAAGGTGGACATGATAGGTGCTTTAAAAGTCACAATCTTAAGCAGTATTATTTCCAAGTCTGGTCAGAGGATGAAACTTGGACAAAGATAAACCCTTATAGTAGAGTCAAGATTCAAATCCACATCTGTCTGAGCCCTTTGGCTACTTCACTGGCTCTTGCAACAGTAGTGAGCCCTTGTAGCTTTCACAAGTTCCATCAGCCTTTAGCTCATATTACTGTGTCAGGCTCTCACTCCAGGGTTGAGGGAGGGGCTGCCTTTTCAACACTGAAGTTCATAAGTGAATGAGGATAAGGATTTAGCCCAACAAATACTTCTTGAATACCTACTATGTGCAAGGTTCCAGACTAGGGGCCGAAGAAGACACAAGCACAAAATCTCTGAAGGAGTTTATCCCACAGCAGAAACAAGTCCAAAATCTGTGTAACAAGGCTACTCAGTTATAAAATACTGATTCCCTGTGTCTGTCCTTTACCCTATTCTTAACTATCCTTTTAAGTCAAAAGGGCATCCATAGATCATTTAAAGTCCCAGATAAAGCATACTTTTTCTGTGCTTCCTCCCCTCCGAAGCTAGACTTAATTTAATTTTCTCACTAGTTTATAAGCCTCAAAACATTAAATAGGACTTTTTTTTTTAAAGAGATGTAGATTCAGAGAAGTGGCACAGACGTAAGGGTTCTCAATATATATCTAAAGGATAAGTATTGGAGATGACAGGACTTACAAATGATTTTGTCAGGCTTATGAATTAGGCAAACTTAAACTTGACAGTCAAAACCATAAAACTTAATAGCAACCTAAATGGGTTTGTGCATATCTTTCTAGAGCATTTACTCAGAGGCGGTATGTGGAATAGCTTGGAAGAGGGGAGTCAGGAAATGCACATTTTTATAAAAAAAAATGATAAGATCTTTGGTAGAGCTGACAATTTCAGGGCTTATACAGCCTTAGTCACAATTATAGATCCAGATCATATTCAAGACTGTTCTTTAATCAAGCAAGTCTGGGCAGGAAAAGATAAGCCATGCAGTGACCATGTCAAGAGTAAGAGTGCACTCAGGGTGAGTGAAGAGTCAACAAAAGAATATTTAAGGAAAACATCATTGTGTTTAGCGCTGAGGTCAATGTTGAGAACAAGAATTTACCAATGACTCTGGCTTGTGAATACTTGCCAATGTGTGAATTTTACTTTCACCGAGAAAAAAAAAGGCACTAAATTACTCCTGCCTTTTGCAAGTAAAAGCTATTTTAAACACACTTTATGTCCCAATGTCAAAAAAAAAACAAAAAAAACAAACCCAAAGGGACTTCGGCTGGCCTTCTCTGACTTGAATTCTGAATGAAGCAGCAGCATCCCAGCAAACCTGCAGGTAGGGGCAGCACCCATTTTGGGAAAAGGTATGAGGCGGGCACATTCCCTCTCACTTCCACGCTCCCGCTCTCCCATCTGCAGGGAACCCCACCGCATTACCTGCTCGCCCGCACTTGACAGCCTCCCTCGCTCCTCCTCGAGCTGCCAGGAAAACCCGGAGAAGTGGACTCACTCCAGATCCCGCGGGCCCCGGCAGCCTCACACCCCGAGCCCGAGGCGGAGGGAGTGGTGGCAGGAGGGGGTGGGGCGGGAGCGGGCCGCGGCTACTGAGCATGTGCGGGGGGTGGCGCATGCCCAGTGCGGCCGGCCGCTTCCCATTGCGGGTAGCCCCGGCGGTGGCAGCGGTGGCGGCGGCGGCGCGGCGGCACCGCCTCCTCTCACACTCCCGGCGTGGCGGGGTTAGATGAGCGGCCCCAGTAGCGGCGAGGGCGGCGCGGGGGGGCGGAGGAGAAGAAGGCGGCGGCGCAGGCGGGCGCTGTCTTTGTAGTCTCCCTCCGCGGGCCCCGAGGCCGCTCCGGGCCGGCGTCGTTGGGCAGGGCCGGGGGCGCGCGCGCGTGTCTGCCCTCGCGGCTCGCGGGGACGAGGCGGCGGCGGCGGCGGCGCGGAGGATGATGATGTGCGCGGCGACCGCGTCGCCCGCCGCCGCCGGCTCGCGGCCCGGCGGGGACGGCTTCTTCCCGGCCGCCACGGTCTCCGCCGCCCCGGCGCCGGGGGCGCTGTTCATGCCGGCTCCCGAGGGCTCCGCGGCGGCCGCGGGGCTGGGGCTGGGGCTGCCGGCCGCGGACTCGCGGGGCCACTACCAGCTGCTGCTGTCGGGCCGGGCCCTGGCCGAGCGCTACCGGAGGATCTACACGGCGGCGCTCAGTGACAGGGACCAGGGGGGCGGCGGCGCCGGACACCCGACCTCCAGGTGCGTCTCGGGGTGCCCTTCCCTGCCGCGGGGCGCCCGCCGCGCGCGTGTGTGCGTGTGCGCGCGTGTCTCTGTGTGTGTGTGTGTGTGTGTGTGTACGTAGTTGTGGAGCCGCCTTTCGGCCAGCGCTCGCCGCCGGGGAGTGGAGACACTGCGATTGCGGGGTGCGGTGGTCGCAGGTTCTGCTCTGTGTGTGTGTGTGTCTGTGTGTGTGTCCGTCTGTGAGAGGGGCGCGTGATCCTAGAAAAGGTGATGGTGTGGCTTGGTCGTGACACTTGTGTGTGTATTGTGGAGGGAGGAGGGAGGGTGAGGGTGTAATGCACGCGGAGAATTGGCTGGAGTCGTGAGGGCTGTGGCTTTTCCAGCGTCTCTGCCGCAATGGTGTTTGCACGTATTTCTCATCCCCACCTTCTCCTTCTCCCTCCCGCCCTCCCTCTTCTCCCCCTGCTAGGACTGTCCAGCCTACACTTTCCACCTCCCTTAAAAAAAAAAATCTGTCTGTCCTTAAGGGGAGTGGTGGTGTAGATTAAGGATAGTGTCGTCTGTCGGGGGAGTAGGCTGTGGGATGAGGTTTGGGGTTTCCGTTTACGAGATTATGCAAAAGGCGTGCAGGTGGAGATTGGCGTTGTACGTGAAGGGTGTCCATAGAGAATTTGGGCGGCTGTGTTTTGATAAATGAAGCTTTTGCTCCTCCAAGACGCGGATGCTTTTGTGTTTTGATGTCCCATCAGCCGTTTCCCTCATCTTCTGTTTCATTTCCTCTTGTCTCTTAAGGGCTTTAGAGTAGAAGAGGTTTGGAGGGGAACAGGGAAAGCTGCAGAACTTCAAATATTACAACTGGTGTAGTGTTCAGCTGCCACCAACTTCAAAAATTTGAGTGGCTCCTAGATCTCTTCCCCACTGCACATTCAGTTTCCTTGAGGTGGAAGAAGTTAAATCACTTTCATTTTCTTTTTCTTTAAATGTGGGTGTCTTTTTTGCCAAGGGTTCTGTTGTCTTCTTTCCCATGCCCATACATGCCACATACCCTGTAGGGTGGTGATCGACTTGTTTCACCAGCTTCACTTTGACAGTGGTAATTGGGAGTTGGCTTTCATCTCACAGCTTCTTGCAGTTCGTAGAGAAAGCATAGTAGGACTTTTTTCTTTTTTCAATAGATTTTTTTTTTTTAATACTACCATTGGTTTACATCATTGTTAGTATTTTGAAAGTATAGGATCTCCCCCTTCAGGTGCCATCTCCTTAACATACCCACCACCAAAGTACCCATAGCCCTCCAGGATTTTACTGTATTTATTGAATCTTCAGCTTTTTTGGGCAATAATCAGATATCTTTTTCTCCCATTATCAAAAGGACTAGATGTAAATCAGGTATTTGTAGTTTTATCAGTATGTATTATGGCTTTTCCTCGTTGCAGCAGTTATAAAGATGGGGCTATGTTCAAACTTTTTTTCTGGGTAAACCAGTCTTCAGTCTTCATATGTCTCTAATTGTTTGCAGAATTGGGCATGTGAGAAGTTTTACCATATGGATAAAAATGTGTGTAACTACCTTTTGCTGTCTAAACAGAAGGCCACAATAGCACAAGTTTATTTCCTGCTAATGTTTTTTAAAATAGTGTAGAACCTCATTAGACAGATTGTTCTGATAATTACCTGTGCTTTTGAACTGTGTGTCTCTAAATTATATAGCACTGTAGGTACATCTTTACAAACCTCTCTCCGAGAATTTGAGTTTATGTGTTGTTTTTATACTTACGTAATGATTTATGACTGGTATATTCCTGTTTTGACTTTCTGCTGATACTTGTGTAATACCATTTCTGTGTATCTAGAACTATGTTAACAGTTTTAGACAGTTAATATAGATTAAACACATATATAAAATTTTTAGTCTGGTTATTTTTGCACAAGTTGGCAGTAGAAAGTAATGAAAAGTTCCAGTACTTCAAGAAGTCCCACAAAAATCAAGGTCTAATGAACATCACATTGAAAGGGAGTGAGAGGAAGGAGACAGTGAACAAAGCTGAAAACAGAGGTCAGAAAATTAAGAGAAATGTGACACAGTTGCACTTCAAGTGGGAAGAAAGAGGGTTGAAAGTCCTAAGCAGTGTAAAATATGGAAGAAAGTGAGAACACTTTCCAGGTTACTGATGACTTTTAAGGAAGTGATCATAGTAAAGAAATGTGGTGCAGAGTCAATGATAGATGTTGGGGTAATAGGGAGATGCAGGATGTATGAGTCTGGAAGGGTGGGTGGGAAATAATCAGAAAGTCGCTAAAGAGAAATTAAAGAAGTGAGTGAGGGGATAATTGATGGGGAGAGCCCACAGGGAGATCTCAGGCACAGGTTTAAGGTAATAGGTGGAGAGCTTAACCATTGACAAAAAATAGGGGCTAATCTTATTTTAATATAATTGTATACTGGAGGCAAGTATTTATAAATAGAAAGATGAGTTTGTTTAGGATAAGAACTAAACCCTATTTGTTTTGATAATATCAGTGTTTAGCATGATTTTTGACACTCCTTCTGTAAGCATCTATTGTATCAGGCATAGTTTCAGGTGTTGAAAATGTAGCAGTGAACAAGATAGACAAGGCTTCTATTCTGTTGGCACTTTTGCACTAGTGGGGAAAAATTAACGACTGATAATTTCAGATAGTGATAAATAACTATGAAGGAAATTTCATGTGATAGATGATTTGTAGTGAGGGGACTATTTTAGGTAGGATGGTCAAGAAAAGGTCTGTTTAGGAATTGATTTAAATTGAATCATGATGGGAAGGAATATTTTAAGGAAAATATAAGAACTGAGGCGGGACTAAGCTTGGTATATTCAAGGAACAAAAGGATGGTGAGTGAGTTATCAGTCAGTCTTAAATGAATTAATGTGGATCATGTTTTATGGGCACAGTGGAAGAGTTGAGGGATTGAGGCCTAAAAGAGTCAGTGACTTTAATGGCATTTTAGTGAAGTGGTTAAGAGCTTACATTCTGAAGCTAAAGTGGTTTTAAATCCTGGCTCTTCTACTTTTTAACTTTGTGACCTTGGGTACATTACATAACTTCTCTATCTCAAGTTTTGTTATTTTTTTTTTAATTGAGGTAAAATTGGCATATAATGTATTAATTTCAGGAATGTAATATGTTTTGATATTCATATATTGTCATATGATCACAATATGTCTAGTTAACATACATCACCACACAATTAACATAATTTTTTTGTGATATGAACTTTTAAGACCTATTTTCTTAGAAATTTCTAAATACACAATATTGTTAACTGTAGTTCCTATGCTATGTATTGCATCCCCATGACTGACTTATTTTATAAACTGGAGGTTTGTATCATTTGACCACCTTCATCCATTTTTGACTCCCCTCCTCTGACAGCTGCTAGTCTGTAGTCTGTATTTGAGTTTAGGCTTTGTGTGTTTTTTTTTTTTTTTTTTTCTTTTTGTTTGTTTGTTTGTTTTTGGCTCTCAATCTGCTCTGGGGGCAGAGCTCCTTAGTCCAGATCCAGTTCTGCCATTTCCTCTGTTAAGTTGGGCAAGTTAATTAGCATTTCAGTTGCTTTATGGATAATCTTACAGGGTTATTGAAAGGATCTTGCCTGGATGGTGTAAGTACTCACTAAATTTTAGCTCTTGTGCTTGGTGGCATTATTATTATTAAAGTCATATATTTAAAGTTTCAGTCAGCATATTATAATTTTTTACACTCAAATGAGAGATGGAAAAACTGCTGGTTGAGAAATGATTCAAGGCTGAGGTGTGAGTAGAGGTCAAAGAAAAAAAAATGAAAGTAAAAGTTTTTGGTGGCAATGATTGACCATATGGTAAAAGGCAAAGTGATTCTAGGAAGGAATTGATAGACTGGAATAGATAAAGAGGATTACAAGTATCTGGGTCATGAAGTGGTGGAACAGCATACGTCGAAATAATAGCAGAGATTGTGGTTAGAATGGGACTTGCTTTTCTTCTCAGCAAAACCCACTGAATTCCTTCAGCTGCTGTATGTCTTTCTTGGTAGAAATGGTATTTGAACCCATCCTTCAGATTCATGAAATTTCAGTTGTAAAAGATTAAGCAGTCAGTTAATCCATCGAAGGCTTCAGGGATTATTACTTTGATATTGACTATTGATCCTATAGATTATAAGAGCTTCTACAGTTGAATTTATTGTCTGGATACGGGTGAAAGATATAAAGGGAGATACTTGCAAGAGTTAAATGGAATGGCTAAGAAGGTATAGTTCTGATAAAAGGGGGCATTCTGGGCTGGCACAAAAGAACAAGAGGTGAGAAGGAATAGTCTGTGTGTAGATAATAGT